TACACCATTTTATAACTTTATATATGATAAATATTTTTATAAAATAATCGTTAGATTTAATAATCTATTTGTACTTATCATTCATGTAAAATTTTAAATATTTAGTATTTGTATCATTTCGCTTGAGAATAATATCATTTTCAATATATATTAATGATTAAAATTTTATTATTATCACACAAATAATTATATATTTTAAATTTACTTGAAATTTGATATGCATATTTTACTTGAATAGAACATAAAATTCAATGGTTAGATTAACAACTATAAATCATATAAAAAATGAAACAAACAGTGTGAAACTAATTAGTTTTCACGTGTCTAAGTAAATCCGTCTTTATTGGTTTTCATATTTTATTATTTACGGCACATTTGCTCCACGGATTGCCATAAAGAGGTAATGAAATCGATATTTTGTGGGAATAAAAAAGGAGGAATATAATAGAATATGTATTATAAAGTTTGGTTCACTGGAATGACATAGATTAAGAATATTGTTAATATGTTTAATTAGTTTAAAGACTATTTTGCCCTTGTAATTTATTATAAAAAAATTAATTAATAAAAATAAATAAAAATAAATATTAATTTAATAATATTATATTGGTTTAATAATATTAACTATTATTTAATAATATTCAATACTAATTTAATAATATTAAATATTAATATAATACTAAATAGTAATTTAATATATTAAATTTTAAATTAAAATATTGAATATTGATTTATTAATATTAAATATTGATTTAATAATATTAAATATTAATATGATATTATTAAATATAAATTTAGTAATATTTTAATATTATGTTAAAGATATTTAAATATTGTTTTAATAAAATTTTAATTATTTTAATATTATTTTAATAATTTTAAAACGAAATGTTAAGTTAACTTTATTTTAATATTATTGTAATACTTTTTTATTATTTTAATATTAAATATTTAAGAATATTTTAATTATATTTTCATAGTTTCACTAATATTTTAATATTATTGTAATATTAAATAATAATTCAATAATAATTCAATATTTAGTATTATTTGGATAATATTTTAATATTATTTCATAACATTTTAATATTAATGATATTTTAATATTTGATAATATTTTAATGTTACTTGAATATTAAATATTAATGTAATATTATTTTCATGTTATTTGATAAAATTTCAATATTAATTTAATTTTAAAAATTAATTGGGTAATATTTTAATATCATTTTTAATATTTTAATATTATTGGTCGTGAAATATTTTTTATTAATACTTTAATATATAAGATTTTAATAATATTTTCTTATTAACTATTAATATTATAATGTTTTATTCTTTTAATAATATTGTAATGCTATTTTTATTATTAAATATTAATTGAAGAATATTTTAATATTTAATATTATTATAATACTATTATTTAAATATTAAATATTAATTAAATAATACTAGTCGTGCGAAGCACGAGCTAAAAAAACCTAGATTTTTTATAAAATCAAATAAATTCACCATATTAATAATGAAATTTAGCATTTCAAGACCAACATAAATATTATTCAAAGTTCAAATTTTCAAAAAGAAAAGTCGCATATGAATTCTGACAACATAATTATATATTAAATTATTACATGATAAATGCTTTTTTTTTTTTTTTTTTTAAGAAGAAATGTACTATCTTGCAACATGATTGTAGAGTTAAATCAATATTAATGATTTTAACTTTTAGATAAAATTGTGAATAATTCGGCCAAAATATAGGAGCAAATTAAAAATAATCTAACATGTAATATCAATTTTAAAAAACATATACTTTTACCAATTTAGTTTAATTAAATTAACTTAAATAAATTTATTTAGCCAACTTTCTAAGGTTTAATTGGTCTAAAATTTTCTATATTTTATATAATAAACAATATTATCATACCTAAACTCTAAGAGATGATTTGGTAAGAAAACATTTGAAATTAAAAGGATAGTTTGTTATTTTTTAATTTTGAATTAACAAAGAAATATTTGATTTTTTTTCTATAATATTTTTTTATTAATTTCAAATATAAGAGATTGTTAATAAATTATAAGCAATAAGATAAAGAGATTTGTTTAACATATCCAAAGTAAGAATTAAATCGAAATAGTAAACATTAAAAGATAAATGTAACTACAATTTAAAAAGAGGAAAAACAACAATAATTAATTTATATTCTACCATGATTAAAATATAACTATGTAATTATATAATAAAAAACTGAATAAATTAAATTAGAATGAGAATACATCATTATTAGCCAATGAAACTAATTATATATAGCTTATCTTCAGGAAAAAATTATTAAATATGAGAGGATTGAAGCACCAAAAATATTTAATCTATTCAAGCAGTTAGAAATTCACAATAGTAAGATAATAAATACTACTATAATTACTAACAACTAAATGGATCAGCTGACTTATTATACCTTTTATCTTAATAACCTTGAAATCCTCTTTAAGAACAGATTGTAGAAGACAAATAGCAATCTATAAAGTAATAATGTTAATGTGTATCACTTAAAAGAATAGCACTAATAATTTTAAGGTTATAAAAGATAATAATGTTTGTAATGGTCGGCAACACTTGAGTCTTAATTTTCTCAAGTCCACAAGTAGAAAAAAAATTAAATCAAATACATATATGAACTGCAATTTTAAAGAACAAACAATACAATTGAAACTCATAAAATAATCTTGTCAATCACTAAAAAATACAGTAAAGAAACATAAAATAAAAGAACCAAGAATCCAAGCTTACCATAAATGGAGAATTTTCTATTCAACATTATAAAAAGACTTTTCCACGTTTGCTTTTGAAACTTTATCATACCAAACTTTTTGTGACCGAAAAACTTATTGTTGTATCTTTTATAAAAAAGAAAATATTAATTGTGAAAAGAAATCATATATATATATACATATTTTTTATAATAATTTAATTTAAAAAATTCAATGTTTGGTTTCATAAAACAAAGCCATTTTTTTTTTGTTTTTATTTTCTTAGAAAATGAAAAATATGAGTGAAAATGTGTTTGGGAATTGAAAATGAAAATAAGTTTTTAGAAAACAAAAATGAAAATGGGTTGAAATATGAAAAAATATATTTTTTCAATTATGAAAACAATGGATGTACATTATTTTTTCTTATGTTTTATAAATTACCATGTTTGAACACTTTTAAATATCATTAATTAATAAATATATATTATATTTATTATTAGATGACATTAATAATAATATCGTTGAATATTTTATTTATTTTCTTACTTTTACATTTTTAGAAAATAATTTTATTTTCATTTACCAAATACATTTGTTAGAAAACAAAAAATAGAAAATAAAAACTATTTTCTAGAAAATAAAAATAAAAAAAAAAAATAAAAAATATTTTCTCAAACCATAAAAAATAAAAACTATTTTCTAGAAAATAAAAATTAAAACAAAAATTAAAAAATATTTTCTTAAACCAAATGGAGGCTAAAATTTTTTAAAATATAGTTTATTTAAGTTTAATTTTAAATTAAAATAAAAAAAGTTAATATAATTTTAAATTTAAATATACGTATAATTTTAATATGCGTAGAGAGTCATTTCATATATAGTTATAGATATATTTTGTTTTGTTCATTAGTGGATCTTCTAAAGTCTAAACATTTTTATTGAAGGCTACTTTTTGACAAAGCTAATATAATTTTAAATTTAATATGCGTATAACTAAGATATTTCTTTTTTATTTTAAATCACAAGAAAATAAAGGCAAAACAATTGATAAACAATAATAATTCAACCACAAATTTTATTTATTTAAATTTATATGAATATTAATTTAAATGGATATGATTTTTATAATTATTAAGATTTAGGGATTTAACTTTTAAAAACTATTTGAGTTTAGTTATTCATATATATGGATAAAAGTGAAATATGAGATATATTTTTTCGGATTTAAATTAGGATAAAACTTATATACTTTAAAGAGTTAGATAAATATAATTTTTGAAACTTCAAATTTTTTAAAAATTAAATAATTTATTAAATAAAATTATTTAAATTTATCTTACGTGTCAAATGTTATAGATTGTCCATATAAAATGACACATAAATAGATTTTATTAAATAATTATGTTACTTATAATATAATACTATGCATTAATATTCCCTTTTTATCTTCTGAATAAACGGAATGTTTTGTTGAATGCTGCACTTATAGAAACGTAAAGATTCATAAACATATTAGTATTTAAATTCAAAGGGTTACCATCTTTTTTACCCTAATGATAAAGTTCATATTCAAAATATTAACTTCCAAGAGATTAAGTACAATGCTAATATTTAATGTCATTGTATTCATCCTCAAATTCAATGATAGGGTTCAAAACATAGCGAGATTCAAAAACTTTATCCATTTTGATCCATTTTACATATAAGTTTCAAAACGGAATTTTTACTTTGTCAAAAAATAACGCTAACATTGATTTTCATATGCCATGTAGCACGCTAATGTATTAGACGAGTCAATTTTTTTGACTAAAAAATGTCAAACTCATATTTTATATTTTAGAATTAAAATTACAAAAATTAAATATAAAAATATATTTTTACAAATAAAAATCTAATTCTCAAATATCAGATGAATACAGGAATAATATCAGAATTTAATCTCTAATAAAATATATATAATATTAATCAGAATTTAGCCTAAAATAATATCGATAGTACTCTACGTTAAAAGAATCCCTTGAGGATTCTGGTGATTGCAGCTGCTTTTGTTTCTTTAAGTTTTGTGGGTCATATTAGTCTGGAGGCAGATCTTGGATAAGAGGTGTGAATGAATTGGCGATGCTGGCAGGAGGAGAGAAATTTATGGAACACCTGTTCTACTTTTACGTGACGTGTGTTTTTTTTTTTTCAAATCATTTAAGCCTTGCTTTGTTAAATGATTATATAATAAAAAAAATTTACAAGAAACTTATGGATTTGTTTTGATCAAAGAGAACATGGCAGGAATGAGTGGCTCACTCCAAAGGAAGGTAGAAGCTTGTGGATTTGTTTTGACCAAAAAACAATTGACAGGAAGTTTAAAAATGGAAGAGTGTTTTTGGAGCGTGAAGATCCAGAAAACCAAATGAGAAAAAAAAAAAAAAAAAAGAGAGCTAGAAGGAAGATTAAGCCAAAGTTAACGATCGTTAAAGCGGTGCAAAAGATCAGTCATAATGTGACAATTGGTGAGTAGATCGGTTGCAAACATCTCAATCGGTATGGGCTCTTGAGCGGATCAATAACTCGACGAAGAAAGGCGAACAATTTGTTTTTAATGTTATTTTCAAAATTCTTTTTAAATTTTTTATGATTTTCCTTTGGTTATTTCAAAATGCAGTGTTCATCATGGGAAGTCGCAACAAACGTTCATTGTCGACGAACATTAGCCGCCCTATCTGGTTCACGAGCTGATGACTCGGCTTTGTTCAAGATGTCTGTTGAAAACGCGCTCAAGCTCATCAGAGTCTCTAAAAGTGCTTTTTTTGATGAGATTCTTTGCGCCAAGAATTCGATAGTTGCCTTTATTAAGGATGATAAGGAAGCTATTGAGTAGGTCGATTCATTGCCCCTTTCTTTTTCAATTTTGAAAATTTTGTGAATTAACAAGATTTGGGTGATAAATATTGAACCTTTTTGTGTAAATGTTGATAATTGTGCTTCTAGGTTTTGAACTAATAGAGTTTCAAGTAAATTTTGATGCTTTGGATGATGAATTTCTAGATATTAATGAATTTAGTAATAAAAATTTTGAATTTTGGCTCCTGGTTGTTGAACTGTTGCATGGGTTTATTGAAAGTTTCTTGGACTTGATAGCTTTTGTAATCTTTTATATATGATTTGTAAATTTTGACATTTCTTTGCGAAGAAATTGGTAGAGAGTCCTTTCATATATAGTTATAGATATATTTTGTTTTGTTCATTAGTGGATATTCTAAAATCTAAACATTTTTATTGAAGGCTACTTTCTGACAAAGATTTTTTCATCCAAATATTACAATCAAAAGTGAAATTTGTGTAACCCAACTATGGGATTATGACATGTACTCATTATAATTTCTATTGGACTCGGCCATTATGCTATATCCAATTGTTACAAGTTTGATAAAAACTGTCTCAGGATTGCCAATTTCTTTTATTAGTTCACTTTTAGATCTTTGGTTCAATATTTTTATTTTCCTTTGTACTGAACTTTGTGATTGCAGGTGGAGGAGTTTATTACTTGAGCCATTTCCAAAATTGCCTCTAAATGAACAGGGTGGCAACTTGAAAATTATGATGAATGGTAACCAGAGTACTTGGCTGTGGATGTTTAAAAGGTAGTAATTTTGGTTTAATCAGCATCTAATATATGTAGATTATCATGGTAATTTTAGTTATTTTGCTTAACTTCTACAGATTATTTTGCTTGCTTGTACCTTGGTATGTTCAAAGCTTCCATGTGCATTTCCTAGGCTCTTTTATGTAGATAAGAATGGAGATTGGCTTGATATCTGTTATATTGGATCATTTATATGGATTCAAATTTGAATATTTATATGGGTCAAAAATTGAATTTTCTTTAATGTTAATTAGTGCATTTTTAAAACTGATTCTTTATTCTTCCTTTTTTTATAGGTCAGTATTAAAGCTTCTGTTAGTTATGCTTTTGGGTTTTTGCTTCTTTCTTATGGGTAAACAATCGAATTTTTTTTTACAATATTGATCAGGTCCACCAGATGTTAGAATCAGGTTCAATATGCTGACTGTCTGTTACTCTTTCTGCTTCACCGAGATACCCTACCTGACCAAGAAGGTCAACCATGCAAGAAAGGTGATCTTCTCTAGGCACAAAGCCATACTCATTTACCATAGAATTGAATATCCAAGTGGCATCATCAACTAAAACAGCACCGCTGCAAGCTGAAAGAAGAGTAGTAAATGTTGCTTGATCAGGTTTCACCCGACCTGCATCTTTCATTGCCTTGAAACAATGGATAGCTTCTTTACCTTCTCCATGCTGTGCAAAAGCAGAAATGAGGGCATTCTAAGAGATTGCGTCCTTTTCAATCTTCTTATCAAATACTCTCAAAGACCAATTTAAAATGCCACATTTTGCATACATAATGATTAATGCATTGCTTAAAGATGTTTCTAATGAAAGATTTTGCCTCAGGATGTAGCCATGAAGTTGTTTCCCATGACTCGAGGAAAAGATGCTGGCACAAATACTCATAGCAATGCTAAGCGTATATGCATTTGGCCTGAGGTTTGACATCAAAAGCTTGGATAATTGCTCTAACCCCAAAGCTGCGAACCCATTTAGAAAGAATCCCAGATGTAATGGTTTTCCAGGAGATCAAAGTTCTTGAAGGACATTGGAAATAATTGATAGGCATGATTCATCCTCCCATGCTAAGAGTATGAAGAAACCAATGCATTGGAAACCTGGATTCTTGAAATGAGTCCATTTTTAAACACGAGAGCATGAATTATCTCACCCATTTCTAGGAATTCTGAACATGACAATAAACTTCCGAAAGTGAACTCTTCGGGTTCAATCCCTGACCTTTGCATTTCCGTGTAGATCCAAATTGCTGATATGCCAGAGCTTCCATAAGCATAAATTGATACCATAGTATTCCGTTACGTAAGATCTTTCTCCTCCAATCTCACAAAAATTATGTGTGCAGCATTTTCTTGTATCTATGTGTCTCTATTCATTGCTTTTAATATTGTTACTGACTTTGGTCTACTAACAAGTTTAATTTACTTTTCTGTTCTTAAGTAACCAGATATAGCTCAATTTCCAGAATTTTCTTTTGGATAAGTGAAACGTTTTATTTATCCGAAGAGGCAACAATTGCTGCTATAGTCACAAACAAAGCTATACTCAGCAGCAAAATACGATCAAACTACCATGCAAATATAGAAACACGTAGACCCTAAGCAGAACACAAAGAATTAATTATAGGGTCTCTTGCGATGTTTCTAAACCCAGCTAAGAGAGATTGAATTATGTTGGTAATTGAGCAATACAAAATCTAGTATGATTTGCTTAATCCTCCATGGAGTCTCCAATTATGGTTTTATACTTTTACTATTTATATTGATTAGAAGTTTCATTGTATACCATGTTACTCGGTTTGTAAAGGATGTTAAGAATAACAGATGCTTTCTGATCACTTAAAAGGATATTGGGTCTCTTCTTTCTGATAGAGTTTGGTTATAACTATCATTGTTTCTGATTTGAACAGTCTTATTTGCTATTCTCATTTTCACCCTGCAAAAATGTTCTTGATGATTGAAATTAATAATGTTTTTTTAGAAAATGGAATTCATTAATTTTAATTCTATCAAACACGAATTCAGTAGAATATATTAAAAGTTATTATAATAAACCGAGGGAAGCAGGGTGTATATGTTATGAGTAGAGACTTAAGCTTCGAATCTGCGTAATTTTGAGACTCGAGCATTCACTCATATGACGTTTTAGATCAATTTTTTTGTCACGGTTTATACCCTTGTGAAGTATTGTCCGCTCTGATCCTCGTGACCTCATGATTTTATCTTATAAAAGGCGTTTTACAAGGAAAAGGTGATGTGAACCTTTTTATATCCTAGTGACCATCCTATTATATTCGATGTGGGATTCAAGACTCTTCTTTAGGTCTGTGACATTCTCCTCTATTCAACCTCGTGATGCCCTCGTCACGAAGGCTGGTCACTCTGCCTACCTCTCTCGAGGTGCTTGACGTGGATCGAACGATTTAGGACTGACTTTGATACTATTTATCACGAGTCGAGCCTTAAGCTTCGAACCCGTGCGGTTTCGGGACTCGAGCATTCACTCATCTGGCGTCCTAGATCAACCTTCCTATCACGATTCACACCATTGTGAAGTATTATCCGCTCTGACCCCATGACTTACAATTTTGTCATACAAAAAATAACTCATAAGAAAAAAGTGATGTGAATCATTTTATATCTTAGTGACTCTTTTATTATATTTTATGTGAAATTTAAGATTCTTTCTTAGGTCTACGACATATACACTAATATTAATATAAAGCTGAAATGAGACAACATTTTATTCGAACTCTTGAGCCGACCGATATCCAAAACAGATTGGGCTTTCAGCCGTTGGATTCAACCTGCTTCCATAAAACTACGTCGAGAGAAGCTTTATAAATTGTAATGGATCGGGTTTTACTGTAAACATGTAACATTTGAATTTGATTTAATTTTTTTTTAAAATTTTTATCTCTTAACTCGGTTTGATATGATATTATTTAAAATTATTATTCAATTTGAAATTAATAAAATAATATTTTATAAATATAAAATATTATTTTAATATAAATATAAAATTAAAAATTTAAATAAATATTAAAATAAAATAAAATAATTAATTAAAAAAAATTATTTCGAATTAAATAAAATCAAATTTATCTAAAATTTGAGTTCAAATTTTTTTTTATCATCCAACTCGACGCTCAATTTTAAAAAAACAATTAACTCTAGAAAATTGAATCAAATTAAAATCCGTCGCTAAAAAATCGGATCGGATCAAACGCCGTCGGACAGAGGTTAAAATACCTTTCCTATAAACGCCCAGTCGTTTCAAACACGATATCCTTTGGCTCTCTGTCTTTGATTTTGTCCAATTGCCCTTTCTGTTCTTCCATCTCTTCGCAGTGGTTCTTTGTCTGTTGATTATCCGTTCAATCTTCGATTCTTCGACAAAACACTTAGTCTCTAAGATTAATCTCGTGTCTTTCCACAATTTTCCTGCAATTAGTTTGCCCCTTTATTAGTCTTCTAGGGTTTTCTCCCGGGTTGCGCCGCTTCTAATCGGTAACTCATGCCCACTAATCTTCTACTATTGTGTTTGAAATACTAAATTTGTTTTAGAAACTGCATATGAATTGTTGGTTCTGTATGGTTTAAGTTTAGCTCGTAACGTTTTTTTTTTTTTTTTTTAACTTCTTTTAACAGATTTGATTTGAAGTTTGTATAACATGTTATGTTTTGCTAAGATATGGGATTTTTTGTTTATCTTTTTTCTGCTGAAAATTGTTTTTTAGGGTTTGTTTCTGCATAATTATGGAACTTTTGGGAGAATTTTGCTTAATTTATTATAAAATCATCTAAATTTACATACTAATATTTATGTTTTTGCTTGATGATCAAAATTTGTAGCCAAAAATAGAAAATATCAACGTTACCCAATTTACAACCCTAATTGTTCATTAAAATTATTCTTCCATAGTCTATAACAGCCGTGTTCCTCGCGCACCCAGAGGCCAGCCAGCCCTTCCAGGGTTCCACCTTCATCAGCTCCTTCAAATCCTTCATCCATCATCAAAGCCATCTACCTCAGTCTGATAGGTTGCTTAGGATTTTTTGTTTACTAAAGAGACTCTTCATTCTGGTAGCTCTGCTCTCTTTTTTTGTTTCCTAGAATCTATAATTGAATCAAATATTATATATTTTTAAAGTGCATTACTACTCTGCGACTAGCTTATATTCAAACGCTAGGGGAGGAGTTACATTGTGTTGGAAAAAAGATCCTATAAATATCAAAGTTTTATGCGGCTGATTAACTTTCTTGTTTTAGGTGTCATCTGACTTGCCAACTTTAAATTTGATGGTCAATATGTTTTTTTTCACCACATAGCTCTCTGGGGCTATATATCTTGGAATATCTGTTTTTTCTCTCTTTTGTTGAGGCAGTGTTCCTAATTGTCCCTGTCTAATTTCTTACTTTTATCTGTATTGCATTTTTACTGCAGTGTTTCATACCCAGAATTTTAGTATGGAATTTTTTGAAATTTTTTACTAGGACCCAAGTTAATTGAGTGATTTTATTCTGAATTGAGCTTGAGCTAAAAAAAATTAAACTTGATCCAGTTCGAGCTGAGCTTTGAGCTGTGACATAGGAGTCTAGTCCAAGCTTGAGTTTTGCAGTGTTTTGTCTCGGTTCAATTACACCCCTAGTAGGAACTATAGAGCTGCAATATTGATAAACCAAAATCATTTATTTTTATGTAGTGGTAGATAAAATAAGAGTTGCAGTGATTATAATGTTGATTTATTTTTATGATTCTATATTGTTGATTGAATTCAGAAATAATGGTGTCTGGTTTAATAAATGCAAATCCTGTTTTCTACGAGCTGCGAGATAAGAGTCTAATCCAAGCTTGAGTTTTGCAGTGTTTTGTCTTGGTTCAATTACACCCCTAGTAGGAACTATAGAGCTGCAATATTGATCAACCAAAGACATTTATTTTTATGTAGTGGCTGAAAAAAAAAGAGTTGCAGTGATTATAATGTTGATTTATTTTTATGATTCTATTTTGTTGATTGAATTCAGAAATTATGGTGTCTGGTTTAATAAATGCAAATCCTGTTGTCTACGAGAAGAAAGAGCGGCAGGTTCGTAGCATAGCAACCATACCTGATGAATATGCCGTCGAACCTATTGACCAACAAGAAATTTTTGATATCCTTTTTCTGCTCTTCTTATTATTTGTTAATTCCTTTTCTTCATGCAAGTTATTGTTTACTTTTTTGTATTATTTTCATATCCAAATATAATTTGCTTTGAATAAAAGCTGCATCTTTTGAGAAGTGTTTTCCATATTTTACATTAAATTATGCGGAGCAAGTTTGATTTTCTTAGCATTCTTAAATCATATTAGAGATATAAAGGATCCTGAGCACCCCTACTCTTTAGAAGAGCTTAAAGTTATAACTGAAGACGCCATTGAAGTAGACAATGAGCGCAGTTATGTTAGGTAAAATGATCAAATTATCTCTCATTCTTATGCTTCTTTCTCATTTTCTATCATATTCAGTTTAATAAAATGGTTTTCTTACTGGTTTGTTTGTTATTCAGGGTCACATTTACCCCTACCGTTGAACATTGTAGTATGGCTACAGTTATTGGTCTTTGCTTGAGAGTCAAACTTATGAGGAGTCTCCCTTCTCGCTACAAGGTATTAATCTTTCTGACTTGACCTTTTTCATTTTTGGGTTTTGAGCTAACATGTAATTTCTATTGCTGTATGAATTATGTTTTATGTAAAAACAAATCTTTTTATTTTCCTGTTTGCTTTGGTTAAGGAATGGATAGATAAGAGCTTAGTTCTGAAGAATGTTGAGTATCCCTGATCATAAGCATTTTATTTGGTGATTGGATGGTAGAAAATTGGGAACAAGGGAATTTCCTAAATTTGTTGGATTAGTTCCATAAATAAAAGGGCAATCATTACTTTTTTGCTTATCAGACTTATAACCTGCAATTTGTTCTTTCATCTTAATAGCTAAGTGTGAGACCTTAAATTTTGATTCTTATCTCACTAGTGTTGCTCTGTTGATCTGAGCTGCTTGTTTGGCTTCAGAAATTCCACTGAAAAATTCCATTGGGGTTCTTCATAGCATATTAAATACTTTTAAATTTGCTGCTTGAACTCTGTTGCTAGACTAGTTTGAGACTGAAGTTTGTTCTTGTAAATAGAGCAGGTTCATCTAACCGTAGCAATATGTTGATTTGTGAAACTCTTTACTCGTCTGGTTATACTGTCCACATGAGGATATGAGGCTTTCAAACCCATATGCTGCGCTTCATCATTGCAAACCCCATACCTCAACTGATAGTTAATAGTTCAAATGAGCGGTCAATAAATCAATGAACGATCAGTTCTTTTTAGGTTCTTATACCAAAACCTGTTTCACTAAATTGTCTGCATCTGCAGGGTTTGTTCATTAATGATTCAATCAAATTATTAGGGGTTATTAGTTCATATCTGTCATGTTTGGTATTCTGTTGATCACATAAATCATACATGGTTCTTATTCTGCAGATTCTCTTTGCAAATTGTTGCACTCTTTTTCTGTCTCAGCCTCTCTATTACCTTCCCCTTGCTAATGATTGTATTCTTTTTTATTTTCTTTTTATTTTTATTGTGTTTAGATGGATATAAGGGTCGCTCCTGGAACTCATGCAACTGAAGCTGCAGGTACTGTCTCTCTCCTATTTCTTTTTTCTTCCTGTTATTTAATGCCAGCTTCGTTTCAAAAAATTAGTTGTGGAAGTAGAGAGATGTATAGCTTAACTTTAAAGAAGTATGGTACAGTCTTCACATTGTTTGCTACCTCATCTCCGTTTTCTTCTTTAATGCAGTTAATAAACAACTGAATGATAAAGAACGTGTTGCAGCAGCACTAGAAAACCCAAACCTATTGGATATGGTTGATGAATGTCTGGCTCCATCCTATGGTTGAATGTATTATAATACTTTTAAATGCGGTGAGAGTAATTGTATGTCTTCTATATAATCTACTTGGTTTTTATGTCGCCTTTGTATAATTTTATTTTACCCTTACTTTACTTCTCTCTTTTGGTTTCTAATTACAAAATAAAGCTTATTTCTTTTAACTACAATTCTAACGTCGAAGTTTTGGATTCATCAACATGTTTTTCAAATTGAGAAACTGGAGCCCTTACTGGTTTGTCAGTGGACTGGAGGATGAGAAAAGGAGTCCTTTCAAGTAGTCTTGACAATTCCAGTTTTGTGTCGTATGCCAAATATGTGTAAATATAAAAATTATTATTTCATAATTTGTATTGATATATCAAACATCAAAAATAATTTTTAATTTTTTTAAACTAATAAGGTTTTTGTTATTTTTATGTTTTTGTTATATCATTTTTGTGCTTTTTTTTTTTTTTTTGGTATAGTTTTTATGTCAGCAGTATTATATTCTAATGGTCTGTTTAATATTTTCTGGTCTACTTTCTGGTCTACTGTCAAGAGTTGTGAAAATATTGTGAAAATATGTCCGACATTACTTGAGCATGGTAGAAAAAAAAGGCAGGGTGGTGAAGGAACAAAACAAGAATAAAGTAGAACTAGAGATGTCTTAATAGTAAAATAAATTTATCATTTTTACATGGCATCAAAATTCTTTTGCATCCATTGAACTTGCTTTTCCAACCCACTATCCCTCAAAGCATTCATAGCCGAATGATATAGCCTTCCATCCAACTTTGTTCCTTCAGCTTTGGTGTCCTTTAGAAGCTTCACCAACTCATCAACCCGACTCGTTTTAGAGAAAACCCGAACCATGATGCCAGCCATAGCCTTATCGATCAGTCCGCCCTTTAATCTAAACTCGTGGTACAATTTCATACACATCTCATACTCCGTCGCTCTACTGTAAGCGGTAATGATAGTAGTGTAGCTGACTTTATCCGGTGCCAGATTTCTTCGACTCATTTCTTTCCACAGCTTCTCTACCTGTCTCAAGTTATTGACTCTCCCATGCATGTCCATCAAAGAATTGTAAATCCATATATTTGGCTTGCACCCTTTTCGTTTCATTTTAGCCACAAGCTTCATTGCGTCTCCTATCCTTCCTGCTTTTCCATACATTGCTATCATGCTAGAATGTGCCACGACACATTTATCAAACCCCTTCTGCTGCATCTCTGAAAATATCATTTCAGCTTTCGAGTTGAGACCGATACGACAGTAGGCATTTATGATCGAGGCGTAAGTTACTTGACCTGGTTTGCAGCCTTGCAAAAGCAGCTGTTCATAAATTATAATGGCAGCTTGAAACCCTCTTCTTTTGGAGAATCCATTGACTATTGTACAGAAAATGCAATCAGAAACCTTTATGTTTGCATCCTTCATGACCCTCACAACTTCCAAAGTTTTCTCTAATAACCCTTCTTCTATATACATCAACACCAGTTTCAAAAACACTTCTGGGTCCCTTACCATTCCCCTCTCCTCTGCCTCTTTGAACAGTTCTTCAACAACAGTTAAATCTCGAATTCTCGCAAATGATCGTATCAAGGAAGAGTAAACTGAAGGACTCACAAAAATTTCTTTCTTCCTCATGTCTCTGAAATATTCAAGAGCCTCGTATGCTCGACCTGATTTCGCCAATGACGCACATAGGATACAGTATACACGAGGTGCAACTGGTGTCAAATTTAACTTCCTATTTTCAAATTCTTCAAATAATGAGGAAACTTTGTCCATATCACCAATTTGCTGATAAGCTTCCATTACCTGGCAACAAGATTCCGAATCCTGAAAAATTCCATTCAATTGCATTGTTTCATATACAGCAATTGTGCTTCTATACATGTGCAACTTATTGTAACCTTCCATTGCTGAATTAAATGCAATGACAGCAACTTCCTCATCTGATTTAAATGAGTCGAGCAAAGTCTCCACAACCTTGAATTTTCTAGCTCTAATACTAGTAGTAATTAATCTAGAACAAGTATAAGTATCAGGCAAGACATGGTAATGCTTAAAATCCTCTGAAAGAGACATAATTAGATCCCATTTCTTGGATTGGACCAAGTACCTGATTAGAAGCTTTAACAATGGTTTTTCTGGTATGAACCCTGGCCTTTGTTTTGCTTTCTCATAGTAATCATATGCTAGCTCTTCACTCTGTGTATCTTGCAATAACCCACACAAAAACCTATTTAAATTATCCACATCTGGTAGAGAAAATTGTTGAGGATCATGAAATTTTAGGCCCAACTTGGTGATGGGCACATTGGTTGATGCATCCTCTAGGATGGTAGATGGACAACCTGAGGAGTTGATGTGGAATAATGGAAGGTTGGAGCTGGGGAAGGAGACAAAGTGAAGGGTTTTGCATGATGAAAATAGGCCAAACTTTCTGGTTTTTGATGTGTAGGTATCAGTTGAAGCTAAGGACCAGTCTGGGAAGCTGGAAATGGCCATGTTGGGGGGGGGGGGGGGGAAGATAAGGTTAGTGGAACTGTAGGAGCAGAACTAAAGTACTCGGTGGAGCTACATTAATAGCTTATCTTTTTGTGGATTGGATTTTGCCATGTGTGCATGAATTATATCAACCAATACAAAGACGACCAGTGGAACTTGAATCTATCTTTTTGTGAAGATAACAAAGGACTGCCTTCTGACACGTAGCTGCAACTAGAATGGCAGCACCAACTTTGAAGAAAGGCAGAAAGAGTAGAGCTTGCTCAGTGGCCTGAGTAAGTTCAGTAAAATGAAAAAAAAAATGAAGAAAGTTCTGAAGCTAATTGAATTTGAAGGAAAAAAAAAAACTATTTCCTAGTATATATATAACTTTAATTTCAAAGTGGCCTACTATTTCACCAAATAAGGAGATAATAACGTAAATGAGCGTAGGTTTTAGTTAGCTTTAGTAATTTTAAATATAATATAATTATATGATATAAAAATAATAAAAAATAATTTAAATTTTTTATAAAAATAATATATAAATTTTTAAAAATATATATTTTATATTTAATATATCGATATAAATTATAATATGATAATTTTTATATTTTATATATATATTTAATATAAATTTAAAAATATATATTTTATATTTGACATAAACATAAATTATAATATATTAATTTTTATATTTTATATATATTTAATATGAAATATATATTCACAAATTATCATATCTAATTTTAGTTTTTACAAATTTTCCTTGTTGGGGTAAAAGTAACATTAAATAATAAAAACAATGTGTGTCAACTTATAACCGCAAAAAAATCAAGGAAAAATAAAGAAGTCAAGCTCATTTTTTTTATTCCAGCGTTGGATTTAATATAAGCAGTGAAGTAAACAAAAACCAGCTTCTCATTGCAATGCAGCATTGTGATTACAAATGAGACTCGTAAATCAAACAGCAAAGCCCGCCACTAATACAAAGTAGAAGCATAAACCTATGTGGAAGAAGGGATTATTGCAAGGAACTGCAAAATGTTCCATCTAATTCTACCTCTGCTATCTGATAACTTTCTATTTATTCGCACACAACAAGAAGAAAAACAAAAGAACTCGAATTACTCGTATGTCCAAACTGCCATTATGGAGCAGCTAACTCAGTTTGCTTCTCATAATCATTTCTTTGTTTCCTCGGATTCGTTGGTCATGCATGCTTGAATAATTTCATGCTAAGCCAATGGAAATATACAGCAACCACAAGTACAGGAATTGTTAAGGGCACCAAGTAGCAGTAATATCTGTTAAAGAAAGGGAAGCAAAAAATCAAGGAAAAATTTAGGGATCTCAATATTTTAACATCATTAATAATTAAAAAAGTGCCTGCAAAACTTAAAATTTCTAGTGTAAAAAAAAAGAAAAAAAGAAAATCTTTTTATAACATTTTTCAAGTTTCAGCCAAGCACAAAGCTAATTGATTTTGCCTTGGTAGGCAAGTAATATAACTACACCACTACCACTGCAACACTCGCATCATAAAAGCAAACTAGGCCAAATAAATTTGATGTTTTTTTCTTTTCTGTCTGGTTAACAAAAACTAATATGATCGATCATCAACACATCGGAAAGATATCTGTCAACTTGAGAATGCATATATCCACCTTGCTCATTCTTACAAGCCACAAAAATCATGTAAAGCAGAAGTTCAACTTCAGGGAACTCTAATCAGAGAGTGTTTCCTTTATGGGAATTCTCTTCTCTGCCCCATCCCCACATTTTGCCCCTTTCCCCTTTTCCTTGCTACCTTTATTCAGGCATATAAAGGTAGGCAGAATATCAACACACATATCTGCTTTGCCATATTTTTATTTCCATAGGTTGTAGCACTAGCAACAAGAATACCCAACTATACATTTACCAACATCAACTAGACCACAAAAGATAAGAATGCCATGCATCCAATATACCCCAGACATTAAAATGAAGAGGAAAAAAGAAATTAAAAAAAAAAAAGATAAAAAGGGAGAAAACTATGCTACTTATCCCACCAATGACATATATTATTAACAGTGCAGTCAACAGCCAAACATCAGCCGCATCAAGCAAACTGGCTAGCAACCAAAGTGTATAAAAGCATGCCAACAAAGCCAAATGCATCAAAATGGAGAGGATAAACACAATGTGTGTGTGTGTGTGTGTGTATAATGTTACCACCGTTGCACACATAAACCGGTGAAAAAGAAACTGAGATAATTGATCTAATACTTCTCTGTTAAAACATGTATGGGATTATACTACTATCAATAAAAAATAATACCTAACAAAAAAATCAGTAAGTTTTAATTTGTTTTGTTATTTTGAGTATGATAGCATTTTACTTTTTGTTTCTTATTTACCCTCTATTTTACTTAAAATTTACCTAAGTTGATTAAAATGTACTACTTCTAACATATTATCAAACATAATTGTTTTATGTAAAAGTAAAATCCTTCTTTTTATAGAAAATAAAAATTAGAATCAGGGCTTAGTTCAACTTTATAAAGTCACCCTTCAAAATAAAATAAGTTTGAAATTCAAATCCTAACTCTTATAACCCCTTCTCTATCTTCAAGCTAGTGAAATTAAAAAAAAAAAAAAAAGGTAAAAAGAGGTTTCTACAGTCCAGCAATGGTTTTCATTATTTTCCCTCTAATTTTCTACCATCCAAACATAACCTTAACAACCGGCAACCTTAAAATAAAAACCTTAGCAACAGCGAGACAACGGTCACTCGAAAATTTGCAACAAAACCGAAGGACAATTAAAGAACATACAAACGAGAAGCTGAAATTACCGGTCTTTTTGGATAGCTGCAATAAGAGGATAATTCGACGGCGGAAGAACCTTCGAGATAAAAGCGGTGAAGAGAAATCCAGGCAAGACAAGGGATCCGGTTCCAACCAACAACCACCCCCAAAAAGTCGTCGTTGCTAACCTACTACTATTACTTCTATCCCTGGAAACCACCATTGATGATTCCATTAATGGATTTCCAGACCCAAAAAAAGAGAAAAATGAAAAACAGAACAGGTCTGAAAACGTTGCCGTTTTGTTATCTTTTTTCAGTTTTAAACCCGGGTCGCAACCCGAAGTAGGCGAAAAGGGCCAAACTTTAAAAAAAATGAAAAATATTATCTCAATTGTTGCTTAGAATTTTTTATGCTTCCTCGAAAATATAAAACAAAAAGAGCTTGATTTTTCACTTGGAAAGCTATGCTTCAAGTTGTTCAATCTCTCCAATTTCAAGTTTAGGTAAATTTCTTTTTGTTTTTGAATTAAACAGACCGTTTTAACAAAAACTTTTGATTCTTTTTTATTCTTTAGTGAACATGAGAACCTTGAATTTACTCATAATTAAAATTCTTGATATTAATCTAATTGAGTTGAAAAAATAAAATTCTGAAATTTTGCTCATATTTGGATTTTTTTTTTTTTTTAAGTTTATAGTGCCGTACAATGTGTAAAATTCTGTAGTTTGTTTAACATACGTTCAATTCAAGTTTATATCTTAATTCTAATGTGTGCTGCAGTAATAATTGTTAGACTAACAAAAAGCCTTTTTTTGGGGGGTGTTGTTGAATTGTTCATGATGCCAAAGCAGTCCAATAACTTGTTGTGCATGAGCTTGTTGGAGTGCTAATAATCCTCACCCAAACCCACTGTGAGTCCTGAATTCTCCGAATTTCTGCCAACTGCACCATTTAATAATTTGCATTAGCTTCTTATTCATTTTTTGATCCTGACATATTTTTTTATTGGGAAACTTGAGGAAATTGATTTAATGAACTTTATTTTTTCCTGCTATTTGGAGAGTTATAATTTGTGATGACATTTTTTTTTTTTTTGGAATTTGTCTCTTTATATGGCAGGTTCATGAAGTTTATTATATACCGCGTATGGCTATGTTTTGTTCAGTTTGGATAATTAATAAGATGTTGGATATTAGAACCATGGCATGAATTATTGTTTGATTACTTACTCTGCCATCTCTTAGCTCGAATATAACCGAATCTTCAGAAAATGGAATTGGTCTTGTAGGAGCAACCTGTATGTGTTTGTAGAGATTTAAAAGTCAGTTTAATATTATTATTTTCTACTGAGAGGTAGGAATAAGTGTATGTGAATAGCTGGATACAAACCTTTGGGTCACAGTTTCCATTGGGGTCATTTGAATTCTCCATATCGTCATCTAAACTAGCTGTGAGATCATTATCAGTACAAACTTCTTGATTTCTATCTTGTGCTCCCATTTCTGTTTGATCTTCGGTAGCTTTGACTCCATTATGTGCAAAACCACAGTTTTTCCATCTCCATGTCAATTGGTCCATGTACCTTAGGTATACATTTCCGTCTGAACCTATCAAAAACAGTTGATTGCCTTCAAAACATGGGCCGGGAGGAGCAACCAAGGTAACATCTTTACATGGAGTGCCATGTTCCACCCAGATCCAGCCATCCCATGCATTCCAGTGATATTCAACTAGTCCACCATTTTCTGAAAGCATGAAAAGTGAACCTATTAGTGAAAAGAATGAAGGCCTCATAGCAGTTCCTGGCGACATGGATAGAACCAAATGCTGAGATTGGTGATGCTCATGCCACAACTCAGTCACTTTGTTATACTGGTAGAGCCTGCCATTTCTTCCAACCACAAACACTATATTTTCCCTAAAGATTTCCTGGTCTATTATGCATGCAAGTTTGGTTTCTGGAGGGTTTCGGCAATCTTTCCATTTGAACTTCCTCTGGGCAACCTACATGGCATTTAAGGATGTTTGTTAGTGCAACACTTTGAGAACATTTCATAGAATCTGTATAACTAGTTCTCGGAGTCTAGATGCTGGAATTATGTTTCAAGTGTTAAATTTTACATTTTATATTTTTTAAATTTAAGTAGCACTTAGTTGCACCAGACATTATAATACCATTTTGGTTTCTCAGTATCTGCTGCTGCTTAAGGGATAATGTGAAATTTTGCCTAGTAAAATGGTTTAGGTATAATATAGTGAAAATGAGATAAATTGAGTCAGTAGTTAAATATTTAATTCAAGGCTTGTATTTCTTATGAAAGAATTTTAAAAATGATAAATTAGCATTGTTGTCATCTTGCCCTTGTGTCTTTCTTTTGTTTTTCATTTTTTAGGAGGAAAAGAAAAAGAAAACTAAACAAACCATGATGTAATTAATCTGTTTGCTTTTTTCATTGTATTTGATTTCTGCAACTTACCGTGAACTGCAGTAGTTTTCCGCTTTTGCTCACAAAGAAGAGTGAATCTTCTGCTGTGACTTTCAGTTTACCAGGCATACCATCCCAAGGCGGGCCTCCAATAACTTGTCTTCCCTTCCTCATTGCGGTGCAATTTATCCATGCCAGCTCATTGCTGCTCCTCTCTCTGATAAGCAAGGTTCCATACACATCAACAAAAAGTAAACTTCCATTGTAGTTTCCTAGGGCACCTTTCATAGGTGTTGAATGATCGTGTCTTAACCAGAGCCATGCACTTTCAGTGTAAAGATATTCGAAGGTCAAACCACCATCTGTTATGATAAAAAATGATACACCTGCTTGCATCACCCTCAGTCGGAAGTTAGTGTTGATCCAGTTATCTGGGAAACTATATTCTTTTGATGCTTTCGCTAATCTACTCCTAGATGTGACTAGAGATAAGTAATCCTGTTGTGCTTTATTACCCTTTCTCCTTCTTGTCAGTGATCTTGTATTTCCTGAATCATTTGGTTCATCTTTTATACCTGCTATGCAATTCGTAGGTCCACGTTCCTCTGTGCAATACTCTGCATTCCATCCTTCTGTCTCAGGGGCATCTAATATTGACCAGACATACTTGGATGATAATTTTTTCCGCACGTTAAGTTGATGTGTTGGTCCTGAATTTTCACCACCTAGGCCAGGTATATGTAACTCCGCAAGTCTACCGTCATCCAGTGCAAACAGTGTCCTGCCAAGTTGAAATTTTAGTCCTGGAATACCTCTTGCAGCCTTTGTGTTCGGTGGATGATTGTGATTCAGCCATGCTTCTGAAATTTGGTTCTCTTGAGCTGTACCTGTCTTCACATGCAAAAGTTATACCAAGATTTGTAGTATGGTTGCTAGATTTTCTTGAAAATTGTAACTAGTAGGTTGTGCAAATGCACCATTATTTTAAGACAATTAAATGCATTTACCATTATTTTAAGACAATTAAATGCGTTTATCTTATCATGCTTGGAGGTCTTATATAATAAAAGCCTTGAATTCCCAGAAGTATAGGTGCATAAGAAAGTACAACCTCATTTGTGCTCCCTGATTGACTTTAGAGTTTTTGCAAGTGAATTTGGTTCTAGGTACTTAGAGACTTCTTTTGTAGTTAGATTGTAGCTGAGATTTGAGTCATCTTCATTGTTCAATTAAACTCATTGAATTACAGGTTGCATTTCAAAATCTTTTTGTAACTTTTTTTACTGCTGAACTTAACGCTGATTGCTTTATCATCTACTCCCTTATTTCGACTTTCTAAATTATCTTCTGTAATGATTGGCCCCTTAAAATATTTTTCTTTTAGTCCTTTTCATGCTTCTTCATCTTTATATCTATAACTGATTGCTCTGATATACAGGAGTATTTGGAAGTGACTAAGACAATACTTCAATTTCAAGGACACCGACATATATATAGTTAGATGTGGAAATATCTTATATTATTGGTTTCCACATTTTGTAGTTCGCTTTGCTTGTGTTGTTCTAAATCTTATTATTTCTTTTGTGCTTTTTTGATGGATCTTATCAGCTTCTCTTATTTCCACATATTTTAACTGGTTTTTGGATCACAAGCAAAGCAAGAAATATGGTGGCGGCACCTTAGAGAAAATGTTTATTAGAATTATACTATGATGTGGTCCAGAATGAGATTGCCATTGACATCAACCTCTTGATGTATGAAAAAACTATGTTACTTGAACTCAGGGGGTGAGTGTTGGTTATTGGTATTGTCTAAGATAGGTATGTTCAAAATTTTTAAAAGTTTTTCATATATTTGGGGGATACTAGAAAATGAAGGGTCAGAGCAACATAGTGAGAGAAAGAATAGTACGAATATCTGGGAAGCATACAGTTAAACCTCATAAAAAACTAATATGTTTTCAAGATATCATTTAAGGGAGATTACTTATCAAACTATTTAACTCTTCTTTTTTGTTTTCCCTTTAAAAGGAAAAAAAAGAAAAAAGAGAAAGAGTACTGGGTTGCTTTACAACACTACTTGACTTACCTGACTGTTTTGGTATTCGATACTCAAATACTGATCCAGTGGATGTAGTGAGAAACAATGAGAAGAGCCTTTCATTTGGCTCATCTTCCAGCAAGGAAGTAATAGACGTCAGGTGATGATCTTCTGGACTTCCATGGATTATCCATTTCCATTTCCTTTGATGTAGTCGTCTCTCTACCAATTTACCTCCCTGTATATTTGAGGAAGTTTGTAAGATAAACTTCAAATTTAGGATAATAGGATGTGTACACATTTTGTGGTCCTCTAATGTGTAATTAGTTTTTAAGCATCGGTAATATGTGAGAGTATGAATTGTTCATGCAGAGTACCTTTGTTAGGAGAAACAAGGATACAAAGTGATCTCCACTAAAGCGATGTACAGTGCAGCCCAGTAATGGTAACAGAGAACCATCCTTTTCTATTTCTTCATTCTGTATATGCTTCTTCCATGATGGCCTTGAGCTCTTATCATATTCATAGAGATCACCTGTAGAACTATTGCACCATTTCATGTTTAGCTCACCCCCCTTTTTTTTTTTTCCTTCTTTTTGGATAATCATGTTTAGCTCACTTTGGTAAAATTAAAACTGAAAATAAAAAACAGATTGTAATTTATACTCTGATAACAACGTACATAGATACTCATGACATTCACACAAACTCATTCCTTCAGATCATAGGAACTTGTTTTATCGACTTTTTTATTTTATTGTACATTGATTTCTCAATTTGACAATTCTTTCATTTAGCAAACTCTGAGTTGTGTATTTGTCAAAAAAGAATGGGATAAGGTCTAAAATTACTACTCTATTTAAGGTGATGGATCAAATTTACCACTCATCTTTGAACATTACTATTATACTTTTAAATTTGGTTCAAAAATAGTCTAAAGTTAATGATAAAAGAATATTCTGTGAGAAATAACAGAATATTCTACAAAATTTTTTTAACTTTTGACTATCTTTGAATCAAATTAGAAAGTATAGTGGTAAAATTGCACCTGTACAGATATGAGTTGTAAATTTGATCCATCATCCAAACTAGAGAGGTAAATTTGAATGTTATCCCAAAAAGAAAAAAAAATATGCCTTGTTAGACCAAGGATTTCTGTATCTCTTTACTGGACAGAAAACAGACTAAAGCTTTGCTTGGTAGAGAGGATGGAAAGAGGTGAGAATGAAAAACTTGTTAATCTAATAATTAAAACTCATAACTATTTTCCTACTTTGAAGCTTAACCATTAGATTAACAAGTTTTCCATCCTTACTCTTTTCTATCCTCTCTACCAAGCAAAGCCTAAAGGATTGTGGATGTGTGCATGTACTTACAGAGAGAAAGAGAGAGCACCTTATTGTATATACTACTTCTGTTCTAATTCTAGCTGCATTAGCTATTGCTGCAACATCTGCTCCTGGTGGTCGGCCATGACTCTCCCATCTGTACTATGTTTACAGCACATAATCCAACTGGATATTAGAGTCTTCTACTGAAATCTAAATGTCATTTATAGAGACTGGCATATGAGACTTGAGGCATCAATGGTAGCGATGATTGAAGGTCACTACTTGCATTAAGACTTCGAAAGAAAAAAGTTCTACCTTGGGGGCTCAACCTCACTGAGTTCTAGCAACAAGCCATTCTTTGTGCAGAAATAAACTCTCCTGCATTGAGTTCAGAAAAATAAAGAAACTATTAGTAGAGACACATTGTGTTTATATTGCTATGAAATTTGACCATGCCTTTCCCTTATGCATTATTCCCTGAATCAAAATTCTCAATATTGAATAAATTACTTACAGCCCATCATATGAAACAGTACCAGACTTTATTTGAATCACTGAACTCTTTTCCGCTTTATTTGTACTTTGATTGAATTCAGGTTTGAACTCCACCCAAATTGGCTGTGAGCTGTCACTGAGTTGCATCTGAAAAAGGGAGGATAAATCAGCCAATAATTGCAGCAAGGAACCCTTGTGGGCGCAATCTAAGTAAGTCACTTTTTCAAGATGTTATGTGTAATATTGTTGTGGCTATGGATTCAAAAAGTTGAGAATGAGGCTTTGAAGTAGACTATGATGGCAATTCTGCCTTATTTTGATCAAAGTGGTTCTATGTGCTTGCTCTATTTCTGCTCTATGGTGTAACTCTTATTAACATGACTTCTCACTCTAATCTAGTGCCTGTAAAACTAGACTCCTAAAATACTTACCAGAAAATTATAGAAATTTTTTGAATAGCAGGCACTTACACAAGGGAGAAAATGATCCAAATATTGTTTAGTTGCAATTGACTTTGTTCACTTACCACAAGAAGAAATTCATCTCATCCAAATTTCAACCTTTACCCCACCCAACTTTAGGATAACCAGACAACTGGTAAAAAAAATTAAAGGGAGAAACCAAAATTTGAATAGGGTGTTTGATTCTAGTGTTGTTTCTTTACTTATATAACAGTACTGTAATTGTTCTGAATTTAAAAATACTCAAGTTTGACTATAGATTCCTGTATAGTTCATCTTATTTCATCTGATTTAAATTTGAAAGCAATCGGTTCTTAGTGGTACCTGATATAGAGTTCCTTCCTCTGAGATAGCAAGGATTGTCTGGTTGACTATCCAAACAGAAACTGCATGAGCTGCTGATATCTGCAAGTCACGTGGTACTATCACCCACTGAACTCCATTCCAGAACCTCTCATAGATAGACCCACTTTCACCGGTGACCCAAATGGATGTATCCAACATTTTAGTCAAGGAAATTCTTTTTCTTAAAGGCAAAACTGTATAAGGGTTCTCCTCTAGTTTTCCCATATCATCCCTCATTTTTAGGTTCTTCTTTTGGTTAGAAACTTCTTTTTCATATTCTAATTGCTCTTCTTTGGTCTTTGTTGTTTGATGAATCAAACCCACTTTAGTACAGTTATCATTAACACAAGACATAAGATCAAACGGAAGTTTCACTTCAACCCAGCTGTTGGATTGCTCTTGAAACTCCCAGAACCGATCTGTTCTCTGCTCGAATTGTCGAGTTGTTTGTTGAACAAAGTGTGGGCACCATGAGGCAGAAGTAAGAAAGATAACGCAGCTTATTGACAAAAGGACCCATATGAAAATTATTAAATGGAATACAGACATGGCAGCTGAAGAACGTGAAAAAGGGGATGAGGAAGCCAGATATAACAGAACTCTTCCAAACTATGATATGTTGATTGTGTCATAAGCAAGTTAGGTTGGTTTTGAGCAGTTTGTGGTGCCCCGTATGGACCGTAGTCGAAAAGGCTATCCCGAAGTACTTAAAAACTAACCATCACTTTTGGAAAGACAACTGCTCCTTTCCTGGCCACTCTATTGCCATGAGAGCTATAGAAGGAAGATTATGGTTGTGGGGGTCCATGAAAGAAAGAAGAGAGAAATAATTACATATTACAGATTTCTTAGATTGTAACTACCCCTATATTGCTGGGCATCTGTATTTGTCAAATCTTTTGGGGTGACAATTAACAACAGCAAAGTCAGGTTTTCTCAGTAGGTTTTATTTAACTTGTTTTTAACTTTGCATGTGTTGTTTGCCGGTAGTGAAGCTTTTTCTCACCTAATTATACGACTTTTGGTCAGTATATTTAAAGTTTAACCAGTGGGGTAACCATGCTGGTGGAAAAAAAATCCTTGCTTGCTTTTATAAAGTAAATCCATTTCTTGAAATTACTCTACTAACTTCACTTTCCACATCATGGTATAGATTCATTGTATTATATGTTGCATTCAGGAGAGTTTATTCTGCCAATGATCAAATTACAACTACAGTCTCTAGATCAAACTTTTGGGGTCCTTAAGGGTACTTGGTTACTTGGTTCCAAGCATGGAATCATGGAATTTCAGTAGAATTCTTCTATTTTTTTTTTCATTTAATTTGTAGGATGCAAGAGATGGTCATGTGATGTGACTGTGTCAGCTGAGGTATCATGTGTTACTAATATTCTATGATCATTGGTAGTAAATGAAACAGACACAGGTTTTACTTAATTTAATGACAAATTTTCTTAGGGCAATTCTTTCAAAGGAGTTTCATGTTTGGATGATCATTGGCCTTTTCAATTTGGATAGATGTGATGTGAATCCCCAAATCATCAATTGGATTCCATTGGAGGAATCTAAAAGCATGCATTCATTCATCATTGATTTTCGAGGGCGCTAAAAGTGGGGTCTACAGGAGTTATTATGGCCTTGCATTTTGCTCCTAAACCTGTGCCATCCTTGAGCATTGGAATCTTGGGTCGGCCACTAGAAATTGGCTACGAAGAATTTGAAGATTTCTAATCTCTTAAAAATGAAAGAAATGGGTTACTTCTTTGTTTTCCTCTTTTGCTATTCCTATATTAGTATATTACCATTATACCTTAAACTTTAGAGCAATTTAAGAATATTCAACAGAAAGTTTCTATTAGAAACTTTTTTATAATTTAAAAAGGTTTTGAAAAAAAGCACGATAGGGAAAAAGACCAAGATCAATTTAAAAAGCATGAAATGATATTATGCATAGTAAAAAAAAGAAAATTTTGAATTATGTAACATTATATTTAATAGAAAATACCATGATAAAATAAAATAAATAAAATAAAAAAAATTATGTTTTTAGTTTTATAATTTTTTTTACCAAATTATTAAAAAAAATTTTTTTTTTTATCAAGGAGACAGAATCCTACATTAAAGAGGAAGAGAAAAAGTTGGGATTCGAATTTTGACTTAGATGTTTTTTTTAATGTTATCTTGATCATTAGACCAAACAGTTGAAGAAAAAATTATTTTTCAAATTATAAAACAGTTGCTAACATAAATTTACTTTGGAATATTCTTTAATTGTTTCAAAATTTAAAGTATGATAGTCAAATTACATTAATTAAACAATTGATAGTAAGTATAATAATAATTTTACATCTCATCCCTTTGTATTTGATAATGTTTTCACCAATATACATGAAGATGTTATTGATTAATCAAATAGTGACCAATTACATGGAACCTGCGTGGGATTGACTTTTACGGATAGGTAGTGAAAAAAGACAAATTATTGAACAAGTAATTAGACTTTTATGCTTTTAACCAATTTAACCAAGGTTTAAAAAATCCGACTTCACGAATTGAACCGGATTTGACTTGGTATTTAAATCTAATTTAGGGTTAATTTTGTATAATTTTTTTATGAGCAGTGGACTTCGAATTTTTAAAGCTCCTAATCTTCTACTTTTATGTTAAAAAGCATATCATTAAATAAAAAATATATTTTTGTTAAGTGTTTATTATATTTAATATTTATTTAATATCAAAAGTAATGAACTAAGAGTTTTGCTCCATGTAATTATTTTAAAAAGGATTTGAAGTTTAAATCCTAACACATGTAATTTTTTTTTTATTCATTAAATAAAAAATAAGCGATGTAACGATAAAATTAAATTTCTACTTTATATGTTTTTCTAAATTTTCTTAATAATTTAGGTTAAGAAATTGAAGATATACATGCAATTTTTTTTTTATTTTCAGAGATCACTTTTATTAAAGAAAAAAAATCATGCATTTAATATTATTTTTTTAAAATTGGATCGGTTGGTTGAACCGATTGAATAGTAAACTGAAAATCCTATCGGTTCAACTTTCAATCCTGCTCCAAAGACATTCCTTTTTACTGCAATTATAGTAGAAGATTTGCAATTGCTTTTAAACAAACAAAGAAGCAAACAACGAAAAAGATAAAAAGAATAGGAAAGTGATAAAAATAATATTAAAAGTGATAAAAGTCATCTTATGATTATATGTTCAATAATTTTTTATATTAATTAAAAATAAATGTAAAACTAAATTGTTTAAAATTGAAAAAAAAAAAAGAATTGAGAAGCTTTTAGATAAAGAAGTTTTTGGATAATAAATTACAAAAAAAAATTATAAAAAATTAATAAAAATATTTATTAATAAAATTTTTTATAATAAAAATTACATAATATCAATAATTTATCGATAAGTGTCAACTATGAAAAAAAAGTGAGAAACTTAAAGATAAAGAAGCTTTTGAAAAAAATGACAAAAAAATTGTGAAAACTTTTAAAAATAATAAAAATATTTTTGATAAATATTTTTATGAAAAAAAAAAAGTTACAAACAAATTATTAAATATCAATAATCGCTTGACGATTGTCAAGTAATTGGTCTCTTAGGAGACTACTTTTCCTTTTTAATTTGTTGTAGTCTATATTTATTTATATCTTCATACATAAATAAGAAAATATATACACTTAAATTCAAATAATTTATATTGTTTTAAAAATTAAAGATATCATGGAAAGACAATTTTCATTCGTTTAGGTTTTGCCTTTTGTTTATCTTGAAATTTGCTTTAAAAAATAAAAAAAATAATAACTCAATAAAAAAAAGGAAATTGAGATCTTTTAGAAAAAAAAACCTACTAAAATATATCAATTTACCTATTTGTTACTAAATTAAATTGAATAGTTGAATATATTTCTTTACAAAAATCTTAAAATGAAAATTTTAATAAAATGAAAATTTTAAATTTTAAAATTTATAATTTTTTTATATCTTCGTACATATATAAAAAAATATATACACTTAAATTTAAATAATTAATATGATTTTAAAATAAAAAAATTTGATCCCAAACATAGTCGAGTAAATTTTATAATATTAAATAAAAGAAATCAAATTAAATTTTAAATTTTTATCAAATAAAAATCAACCATTAAATTTTCCTGAGACAGAGGAGTAAAATTTTTAAAAGTCATATTAATATACTCAAAGGAACCTTATGAATCGTTTGATATATTTATAGTTTTATATTTAATGTTTTTGAAAATTTGTTTTGTTTTATTTTTATTTTATTGAACTTGAAAATACATTTAAAAAATTAATATTTTATTAAAAAATATTAATTTAGAAAATAAGGTACCACGTAAAGAAGTGATTGGGGGCATGGGTTGTGGAAGTGGTAGTGGTTCGATTATAAGAAATGACAGCTTTAACTATATATGATGCAATCATGATTATATGTAATTTTACCCTTCATCCTCTCTCACTCACACGTATTTTTATTCCTTATTTTGGAATCATGAAATCAATAATTTTAGTTGTAACTTGTGTTTGCACCAAATATATACCTGCCAATAATGAAAGGGCATGTGGCAAAACAAAGATGATTTTGCGTTCTCAGAGGCCAATCATCAAGATACATGTGGTTTGATTAAATCCAAGTCAGCCAATTAATATTTTGATTAAAAGATTAATTAATTCGATGATTTTGAATTATGTCGTTTTTAATGTGGGGGATTTTATATATGTCAGCCACTAGAAATTTGTTAAAACGGTTATTAGTATTAATAATGCCAAGTCAGTCGTATCAAGTGCTTGTTTGATCCTGGTGTATTTAGTCAAGGAAAACGACTGGTGACCAACTTCCTAATACTTAGCGAAGAGCAACCAACTTCAATCAGCCATTGCTTGAGCCATAAGCAGTGGAGTATTTCCTTTGTAATCAGCCTTTATTTTGTTCAATATTGGTGATCTGTAAACACTCAAACCATTCAAGCAATCAGCATTTATTTTATTACAATTTTGACCGAGAGCTTTAAATCAATAAGTTTTCGTATTTTCTTGTTTATCGTGTTTAAGTTCAATTTTTATCGAATTCTACTTAGTGGTTAATCACAAATTTTGTTCTATATTTTTATGAGTTAAGTGATCTGTTTGCAATTTCAAATGGACTCATAAAGCTTGATCTTCCTTCTCGAGCTAACAACGCTTTGTCCGTTTTCAATTCAATGTCCTTTGACATAGTTTTTATTGATTGTTTTGCTTCAAAGGATAAAAATCATCAAGGTCACATCTCAAATTTTGGTAATTTGTATTCGAAATTAGCTAGCAGACTCGGTTGATTTTAATGTGGTTGAAGATAATTTCAACAACTTGAAAAATAATGAATGTTAATTACATTTATGATTATGAGGAAAATAGGAATTTATACACAAACAATAGGAATTTATGTAATTCATGAGTGTTCATTTATTAGATAATATATTAATTATAAATATGAATATTGTTACGCTTAAATCAACTGATTAATTATTAATTTCATATATTAAGATTACTTAAATGAGTTACGCCCACATCATTAGCTCTAAAGAAAAGACTCGTCCTTCACTAAAAAAAAGATTAGTCTAACCCACTAATAATCTGTTAAGACAATCATTTCAAAATTAATTGCTTGACATCTAACATGTTAAAAATTATTAAATATAATTTATATTTATTTAAAATTATTAAATATGACTTACATTTATTCAAGTGAATCCATCTTAAACTTCATGTAGACATTTTATCTTCTATCAATTGTTTTAATTAGATGATTGCTTTTTCATCTCGTGTATAAGATAATTTGAAGATCCGGTAGGGAAGCACGTTAAAAACACTTAAACCTACCATACACTTAGAGCTTCTCCCCTATTGAAGTTTACTTCACTCACTTCACAATTTTCATTTGTTTTCTTCCTTCTTTTATCTTATTTCAGGCATCTTATTGACTTAAATGTTAGAACGTATATTAGAGTAACAACTTCGACGCCTTTTGATTATATTTTCTGGTTGTAGGTCATAGCTATTGTCTTCTTCAACTTCATCTCCTTTCTTTCAGTTAAAACACCCAAAATAAATATTTGTGTTTTTTATTTTTAATGAATTGAGTTCTAATTTCAATCATTTAAAAAAAAATTACTTTTTTTTTTTTTTTTAAAAAAGTTTGTTTTTGTTCTCAAATTTGTGGATGGAGACATGGAATTTGGGTGGGAAACTGTAAGAATTTGTATGACAAAGACCTCTAAACTAGTGACCTCACTTTGATGAAAAGGAAAAGCTATTTGCCTTTCCTGTGAAAAAAGTTTCTTATCTTAATAAAATTACTAGTAACATATTCGCACGTTGCTGCAGGTTCAAAGTTTTTATTTGTAATTAATAATTTTTAAAATAAATTTAATAAATTAATAAAGTATAGTTTTGTTTATAATTTTTTGATAAAAATAATAATTAATGAAAATTTATCAATTAATTTTTTATTAATATATGCATTTCATTCTCATAATTTATATAACAAATCAAATCCATATTTACTATTTCAAATTTATCTTTATAAATATAATTAAAAAAAATTAAAAAAAATAAAAACTAAAAAAAAAGACCCAAGAAAAAAAAAAAAAAAAGGAGTCAAATAAGAGTGCCAAGTAGGACTTCCACTTAAGAATGACAAACAGTCAGATAGATGGTGGTTTATGTTTATCTTGACATTGATTTGAGACAAGGTTATTTATTTTTTACGCTGATTCCAACTCAACATATATATAAATATGTAAATGGATTATTAATATCAGTTGTTTGAGAGATAAAAAGTTTATTTTTTTTATGAGATTTTATTCGATTCAATTTTGAATTATTCAAAGTTTAAAATAATTATTAAATATTGAAGAGTCTTAGATAAAATATATATATATATATATAAAAGTTGATCCAAACTAAAATAAAAAAATAAATTTAATAGTATAAAATTTATGAAAATATTTTTTTTATTATAAATTACATTTTAATTATATATAAACATAATATTTTAATAAATTAAAATATTAAATAATAACTTTATTAATATAATATATATAAATATAAAATAAAATAAATAATAAATATATATTCTTATATATATTCGAAGGTGAGACGAAGTAAAGTATTTTAAACCCTAAAACATAATTTTTAAATATATATTTATTTTAATTTCATAAAATTATTGAAATTTGTATATTTTTATATTTTTTATTAAGCATGCATATAATATATTTTTTGATATATTATAATTTTATATTTAATTGAGTATAAGGACAAAAAATAATTATATTTTTCATTATTTAAAAAAAATTACTTTTTAGAAAAACTGATATGTTTAATTAATTATTTTTTATTATAACATTAATTAATAAATAATTTTATTTTAATACCTTATTTTATAAATTTTTTTCGGAGACTATTTGGTGATATCATCATCTTTATGTTTAAAGATAATAAAAAAATAAAAAAATGAAAAAGTGATAAAATGACGACACATGGAGAAGCTAAATAATGGTGAATATTTTGGTTAAAATTGGTAAAATTAAACGTATGGATAGATGGATGAAACATAAAACAAGTCATCCCTATTGCATTATAGTACCAGGTTGGAGATAGGGTTGTTTAGAGAGGGTGATAGTTCTTTTCTTCTTAGCTTTTCAGTATTCTAAAGTGAGTAGGCAGTTGGGTTTCGATTAATATGACAAGCACTGGTGAGTGGAAATGGCCAAGTTTCTTTTTACATGGTTATGTGCTCTGTCCATGGAGTTATTGAATATGGGCCCAATTCCGAATTATGACCCTGCCTTGTTTGCTGGGCTTGTTGTACCTGTTTAAAACTCATCATCCTTGCCTTCATTTTATTGCATTATGATAAACTGGGCTTGTGTGAATGGGTGTTTCCGTAACCTAAACAAAATTTTCAATTTTAAATCACTCACCTGATTTGTAATTTTGGTTTTTTAATAAAGAAAAATTTGGGTTGGGGGGGGGGGGGAGGAAATAAAACAAAACCCTAGGGATTTAACCATTTAGTTCTTCTTCTCTATATCCAAAATTCAACCTTTCAAAACCAATACATTAATAAAAAGAAAACAGAACACGATAGAAGCTGTAAGTTTCAATGCTTTCTAGTTTCTGGGTTTTTTTAAAATTTTTTTTAATAATTACTTAGTTTAGTTCAAGTAGAAGGATGAAACTGTTTGATGAAATGGCTAATTGAAAACAACAATTTTCTGAGCAATTGTTGCAGAGAAACTGAGAAACAATGGAAGGTAGACTGGCGAATTCGTGGCGGTTGACAGTGAACGACAAGAATTTCATCAAAACTGCTTTGCTTTCAGAAATTCGAATCGATGGTCGAAAGCCCTATGAATACCGTAAGATTGCAATCAAGTTTGGCAGGCAAGTTCTAGCATCATTCATCGATGTATGTAGATAAGAATCAGCTTATATGTATTTGGATATTTACGGTAATGGGTTTCTTTCTTTTCTGCTTATAATTACTCTGTTTCACGCTTTATGCTTAATACGGTAACTGAAGTAAAGGAGCGTAATTTTGTGGAAAATACATGCAACGAATAACATAATAGATAAGAAACAAGGACAAACAAACTAGCCTCTAATACCATGTTTAAGCTAAAACCTATATACAATAGGTGGAGATGCTCAACCTGAAGACAAGGCCACAACAAATTCTAAACTTAATTGATGTGGGTTAACATCCCTTAATAGTATTTATATATGTTTACAGGCATGCATGTATGAAGTGTATGTTTATGAGAATAATTTGATAAATGTTTGTTCATATTTAGGAGAGATTTCTATCTGTGATTTTTTTTTTAGTAATCGAAGGATCATGTCTTGTTTGATTCTATTCTTCTAGTTGAAACAGGTAGATGCGTACTACTTTTTTTTTGTTGCATTATCAGATGATATCAAATTTTAATATTATATTCTTTTGATTTCCTCTTTTCGGTTAATGCGAGTAGCTTGTTTGGTGGATATTGTTGGTAAATTGAGTGTTTAATTATCATGGTGATTTACAGAGAGGATGGGTCATCAGAGGTGCAGCTAGGCCAGACCCATGTTATGGGCATTGTTACTGCTCAACTGGTTCAGCCTTATAGAGACCGACCTAAGGAAGGGATACTTTCAATCTATACGGAATTTTCTCCTATGGCTGATCCTTCATTCGAGCCTGGCCGTCCAGGAGAATTGGCTGTGGAGTTGGGACGCATAATTGATCGTGGTCTAAGGTACTGTTATATTTTAAAAGACTTGATTGAAGCTTGATTTTGACAGATTTGTCTTCTTTGTTCCTTTGAATGTATTAGGCTTATAGAGTGTTAGTTTTCTTATGTTGTTATAAGTTTGAATCTTGACTAATATTTTCGTGTTCTATAGAATTAGATGTCGCCTAATGAGCATGTATTTTCTTTTACGAATGGTGTTTTGCTAACGATGCATATTTCTTCTTGGTTAGAGTGACCTTTACTAAGCTTTTGTGGAATGTGGCGGAACTTACTTACTGGTTTGTCACTGTGCTGTTCTTATTGAAATAATGGTAATTGAATGTTTATAGTCATCTCACAGGGAAAGCAGGTCTGTGGATACTGAATCACTGTGTGTTCTAGCTGGCAAGTTTGTGTGGGCTATTCGGATTGATCTCCACATTCTAGATAATGGAGGGTACTACTGCAATCTTTCTATGATTTTATTACCCTAAGGCCTAAACTGAATATCATTTCATAACTTGTTTCTCTGCTAATATTAGATGTTCATGTTCGGTTCAACTTAATATATTTTGTGGAAACAGAAACCTTGTTGATGCTGCTAATATTGCTGCTTTGGCTGCTCTACTGACATTCCGGAGGCCTGAATGCTCATTAGGAGGAGAAGATGGTCAGGAAGTAATAGTGCATCCACCTGAGGTCAGATACTTAACTGTTTGGGCTTTTAATATTAGTGTTTTTGTTTTCGTATATATTACTTTGCTTCTTAAAAAAGAATTACTGTGAAGATGGGAAGAATTTAGTGAGTGTTGAAACCTAAATTTGATGCTTTTTCAACTAGGTGAATTTCATACTTAAGAATATGAGTCCTGAGCATGATTATGAAGAAAATTTTCTTGCTTCCTTTACATGTTTGCTACTTTAAAAAAGGAAATATGTTCATCAAATCTGCATAAAGTGGAGAGAATCAATTCTATAATGTTTTGGAGTCAGTTGACTTGTGGGCTGTTGATGCAGGCTTCGTGATAGATGCTATATAGGCATTTAAGTCAGTGTTATTAGTACCATTCCGATAATGGTGGTAGTGGCCGGAACATGCCCTTTTTCACCTAAACCAGTACACATCTCCCCAAATCCTTTCCAGCTCTAATACCGAGCTGTGCCAGCTTGCACTGGTTGTACCAGTCCATTTAGGCCATTTCAGTTGAAAAAGGCTTTTCTGCCAGTACTGACAACATTCAGAGAAACTCAAAACTAATGTCAGATCTTTGGTGAATAAATATTTTTTATGTGAATCCTCTTCCTTCTTTCTTTCATCCTCCTTTAGCAGCTTCTTTTGATGCTACTACCGAAAAATAAGAAGATAAGTTGGTGGATTCTTATGTTATTGCGTAAAATGGGTCTGTAGATGTTCCTGAGAAATGGACAGGACTGAGAAGCTAAGCAAAAAGAAGAAAAAAGGGTTTTGTGTCGCTGCATCTGATTTCTATCATTCCTTGTTACAAAATTTGATCTTTACCCTTTGACTCACTTTAGTGGGCTTGGCGATCAATTGATGCAAAGAAATTTGGCCTAGCTTGAGCTTCACCCATTGATTTTTTGTTTGATATGTATCCAATTTGACAATTTAATTGTATTAAAAGATATTATATTTCTATATAAATTTATAATTGTGTTAATTCTATGTTTTTATTTCAATATCAACACAAACAAATGTAGATGTTGTTTTTATTAATTTGAATTTTATTTATAGTGATTTATACATATATTTACATACGTAAAATATACTTTATGAATATATATATATATGTATATATCTAAATATATTAGAATACTGATAAATCTGAAAGGGTACACCAAAACATACTAGTAATAGCATGTACCATTTTAGGAGGAAGACCAAGACACTCACTAGTATGGTACTGAAAACCTTCATTTAAATTCCTTATCCAACTCTTAGAGAATTAAAAAAAAAAAAAAGTTCCTTATCCAACTCAATGTTTTAAAGTTTGACTACAATCTTCCATGATTACTATGTGACATAAAACTGTATGCCTGATGCGATGAATCAAAATAGTCATGATTACTTGTAAAATAAATAGATTTGAAACATGGTATACTCATCTTATTTTTTCTCATTAACCTTCTCTTGGAACTAGTGAGAACTTGAATATCACTTTAATTACTTCACTTATTTGTTATCATTTTTCTTCCTCTCCTCTCCCATCATTTTGATCACACTTTTCATTCTGACTCCATTGACTGTCTAATTATGGTAGTTGAAAATATGTTCTCTTTTGACAGATAAGGGAGCCTCTTCCTTTGACAGTGCATCATCTTCCAATTGCAATAACCTTTGGATTTTTTAGTAATGAGAGCATCCTGGTAAGTAAATTTTTGTGATCAGGATATTCTAACTATATTTTATTAACACCTCTTGTTCACAGCTGAAGTCATGCTCTCCTTCAATGTGACGAAATTCAGGTAATAGATCCAACCCACAATGAGGAAGCTGTTATGAGTGGAAGAATGACTACAACAGTTAATGCAAATGGTGATATTTGTGCAATTCAAAAAGCTGGTGGAGAAGGTGTCCCTCAAAGAGTTATAATGCAATGCTTGCAGCTTGCTACAGCAAAGGCTGTGGGTATAACAAAGCAAATAAAAGAAGCAGTAAGAATGTTTTCCTCAAAATAGTTTTCTGAAACTCGTCTAACTTCTTCTTAGCTACTTAATTTTTTGTCTTGTCATCTTATAAAAATTTCTCTACAAATCTATGGTTGGGATGTTTGAAATTATAATTGGTTGTACTAAAGTGCAAAACGTGAAGGGAGGAAGAAAACTTTGAAATTTTGTTAACATGCAGCAATGCTCTATGAAAGTAAATCACTTAAGATAACCATTGAAAGTAGAGAACTCTGTATAAATTACATGAATACTTTGCTGCCTGTCTCCAACTACTAAACAGAAAGAAAAAGAAAACTATGTTGTAAACCTGACTAATTAAATAAAAAAAGGACAAGAAAGGAGTCTTGTATTATGTGGTTAACCAAATCCTACTTCTTCCCTAGATCAAAGCTTCTATTGATATTCAACCTCGAACAAATCTTGTCCCCTTCTGTAAAATTTAGCTGTTGATGTGCAGCTGTATGACATTTTGAGGTATTATTTGCTTAGGAATAACTATAGAAACTGGATGGTATGTCTTATTTCATTTCTTGATGTAAAATTTCCACTATCCGTTATTTTTTCTGTCAAGTTGCTTTTTACAAATAATACTTTACCTATTAAGTTTCTACTATTCGTTGCACACTTGAGTTTCATTATGCATCAATGTAGGTTGAAGTGTACAACACAGAAAGAGCATTACGAAAGATCAAGCGCCACCCTACTTCTACTAGTGTTAATGTTAGAGAGAAACAAAACCAGTCTATTGGTAAGTAAGAGTTTAAATGCGGAATCAGGGGAAAGATGTAGATGCAGCCTTTGAAGATCCTTATTCATTACTTCTTTCTTGTGTAATTTCAAATTTTGAAATTTAGAATTTTCTGTATTTTATTGTTCAGTGCAGAATCATAATTTCTGAAAATTCTGCACCCAAAAGTTTCATTATTCTAGGAATTTAGGTTTTCTCAATTTGGGGTCCAAGTTGGTTGCATGGTTTGTAGTTAGTTTTTGTTATGGACCCTGGTTATAGTTAGTTGGTTTCCAAGTATCTTAGAATACTTTTAATTTATTAAATTAGTTTTTCTCTGTTCTGCTAAATTGAAGCATAGATGTATTTTTGTGCTTTTCTCTCAGCTTTGCCTCCACTCTCATAAAGCAAGTACAGTTGCTGAGAAATCTTGAACAGATGCTTGACCGTCAAGTTGCTCAGAATCAAAGTTCATTTGGTTCAAACCCTCTATACCTCCAAGGCCCCCAACTCTACCTCTTTAACTTTTGAGAATATAACAGCAGTTATTAAGTGGAATTAAAGTGTAAGGGGAAAAAAGCCTATATATATTTCGATTGAAGAAATGGAAAACAAAAGGTTCTTTCTGACTGAACGTGAGTTTTGGACCAACTCGACTCGCGTGCCTAAATAATTTTCCTATATGCTTAGCTGCATCATGATGCTTGAAAAAACTAGATTATTATTTTTTTTTTTTCAAGAGGGCAGAGTTTACGTTAAAAGGAGAGGGAGAAAACTGAAGTCGAATCTCAATTTGATATTTTCTTAAGGTTTTTTCGGCCACTAGATAAAAAGTTGAAAAAAAAAATTAGACTACTTTTACATTACACCATAACATCGTTAACGATTCGAAAAAATTAAAAATTGATTTAAAATTATAATATTTTAGATTAATTTTTTTATTTAGTTCTTTAAATATTAAATATATAACTAAATTTGGATTAGATTTGAAATCAAAAATTAAAAAAAAATAAATCAAATTATATATTTTTATCAACTTTTATTTATATTTTAAATTTTTATAAAGTAAAAATAATTATTTATATATAAATTTATTTATTTATTAAAAATTATATTAAAATAATATATAAAAATAAAAATTCAAAAATAGATAATCGAACTTAATCAATTGAATTCAATTCAGATAAAATTTTAAAAATTTATAATAGTATACATTATTAAAAAAATTAAACTAAATTCAATTTAATCCAAATTGTTATCAATCATAAACACTATAATGTTGCAGTAAAAGTAAGGTATTTTGTTTTATATACAAAAAAATTTTTTAAGGTTAGGACAAGCTTTTTCAATTTAAGTTTAAAGCATGTTGTAAATTTCAGAAAGAATTTATATTAAATTTACAAATAATTTGTCAGTAAAGATTGTTGACTCAAAATTTAATTATAAACTTTATAAACGAAGTATTTGAATCTTATTAATTCAACAATACTAATTTGGGAATGTTTGATTACCAATTCAACAATCTTACCAATATTTATTAGGTCCTAAGTGATTTACCCCTTAGAAATCATTTTCAAATTTATAAAATATAAAATAATACATACGAAAATCCAATTTCATATAAAAAGTAGAATCATATTGAATTATTTCAAATATATACATTTATAAAACAATTGAAAATTCGGTAAGCCACTATCATGTTAAGTTGAGTTTAATAAATAAAAAATCCATTCAAAATGTTTTTAGAGACTAAATATTTTGTGGACCAAACTATGCATCATACTAAATCACTTGTTGCGAGATAGATTTTTATCTTACTCTTATATAATCTTAATTTTCTCCAATTCCAAGTAAATTACCCAATAATTATGCTCAAATTATAAGATGAATTTTACTCACCTTTGATTCGAATTAGACTTCAAATATTGATCTTAAAGAGAACACTTATAGAATAAAAGCTTAATTTCTCTTTTTCCCTTTCTCTCACTCTAACCCTTCGGCACAAAGGTTCCCAATCTTCATTTCTTTCTCAATTTTTTTCATAACATAATATTGGCACGAGAGACCACCATCTACAGTGATTGGATCTCGACATGCAGCATGTAATAAGGTTAGAATATATATGCTTTACATTCAAACTTATCTCATCAGAACTTTAATGTTAAAAAAATTTTAATTTTAATATTAAATACATTCAAGTCAAAACTTTTTTTTTAAATTTCTTGAAAATCAATGCCACCAAAACAATTTGAAACGAAAGAAGTATTTCATTTACTTCACATTTGGTTGAGTTGGTACGTAGGCTATAATGTATTTTAACATATTTTGATTGTATTGTTTATCATTTATAAGATTTAAGTCCGTCCAATGCATGAGTTGATAATTTCAATTTATAATAATTTTTTAAAATAAAATAAAAGTAGTCATATAAAAAGAGTTTGAAAAAAATTAAAATTGTATGCATATTAAACAATAAATTTAAAATTTTGATAACCGAAAAAATAAATAATTCTAATGAAAGTTTAATAATTATCAACGCTATAAAACAACTAATTAAAGAAAAATAAAAAATAAATAGTTGAACTATTAAAATGTAATAACAATTCATTCATACTAAAAAGCTAATATGAAATTCAACTTTAAAAAAATTCGATGTAATGAAGAAAAAAATAATCTATTAATAAAAAAGAATTATAAGAAACATTTTAAATGGAGTTTTATCATTAAATTACCCTAGGAAAAAAGTAAATGTCATAAACCTTATTATTCTTCAAAATTTATGTTCTTTTTTTAATCAATAAAACAAAACCCACATATGTTAGTAAATGGAAAACCTCACGCCTTATAAGAAATACTTTTACAACTTTGCAATTAGAGTTAAAAATTGAAAATTTACAATCCAATATTTTTTTTATTAGTTGAATTTTTGTTAAAATTTTAAAATTAAAAGTTGATTAAAAAAATGCATAAAAATAATTGCGTTCAACATAAAATAATCATTATAAAAAAACACATTTTGGGGAATAACTAAATTTATCAATACCACAAAAGACTTGAAACAAATTTACTAAAAAACTAAGACAGAGAAATTGTTAATCCATTAAAAATTGGATTTGTTAATTGATTATAAAATAAAAAAATTAATTAATCAAAACAAATATTTATGTAACATAAGGAACAATAACATTTCAATCGATTAACATAATTTAATGAAAGAAAACTATGTATTTAAATATGTATTGTATGAATGTACTCACAAACATGCATTGTATAAATCAAATAAGAATAAAAGTAATGGATTAAGAGAAATGATAACTATGAAAATATCAATAGGAATTTGAAAATTTAGGTTAGAAAAAATAGTTGGCAGAGTTATTGGGTGATAGGAATAACAATACTTAGGTAGGGAGGGTCTACTTGTGATGTAAAGCTTTTGCCTTTGACGCAAAGGTGAAGGTGGGTAACTTTAAGGCAAACATAATAGTACGTTGGCTAAGATTTCTATAGCAAGAGAAGGCCTTAAACATGTAGTGAATTATGTAAAAGATGGGTTCAAAATTCTAGTTGATTTTATAAAACATGTTATTTCTAGTGGTCATCCTTTTCCATTGATAATGTAAGGCAATCCAAGAATCTTTTTATAGAGATAATGTAAAATGTAGATTCTTTTTCTTTTTTTTTTGAAATAAAGTAAAATATAAATATAAAATGCTAATGGTTGACTAACAATAACATTAGAATTAAGAGTAATTACACCCAAAATATTTCAATTAGTAATAATGCTTATTTAATATATAAACACTCCTAAAATTATAAAGGTAATGAAAATAGAATCAATGAAATTTTTTATTTAAGTTTGGACATAATTAGCTCCACTTTATGGTAAATAGAAAATAGAATCAATTGAAAACTACTTTGAACAATTTTCATTTATGCTTGGACAGTAATTAACTCCATTTAAGGGAAACCAATGCTAGAAACAAAAGGAAGACATGTCAAATAGTTTTTTTTTTTTTTTTTTAATTTTGAAGAAAGTTTGGCACCGACGAATGGTAGTTGGAGTAGCAAATGGTGGTGGTGGCAGTGGTACTTCATCAAAATATGGAAAAAATTCACAATTTTCCTGATTTGTTTGGGTTTCTAAAAGAATTTTTTATAGTAAGGGAAAGAATAAAAAATAGAGACAGAAAGGGATTGGAACGAATGAGAAGAAGCTAAAATTTGAGCATTTTATAAGCAAGTTAAAATGGCATTGTTTTGCTTAAAATGATTCGTGTACTACTCCACGGGTGACCCGACCTAGTCGTGACTGGTTTTAGACTTCAAACCAACTGCGAGTCGAGCTAAGTGAAAGAATGAGCCGTTGAGCCTCATTTCATTCCTGTAGTCGAGCTTTTTTAAGCTAAGTTAGGTCGAGATTTTTTTTTGAGTATTTTCTTTGTGTTATTTTCCTTATTTACTTAATTATTTTTTTGGTGAATCTTTGTTCTAAAAAATAATAAGAAATAAAAATAATTTCAAAATTTAAGAAAAAAAATTAAAGAATCAATTTTTTTTTTAAATAAAATAAAAAAAAGGTTTTAAAGAAAAGTTAAAGTATCAATTTTTTTTAAAAATAAAAATTTTCAAAAAAAATTATTTTGAGGAAAAGTTAAGGGTCAATCTTTTTTAAAAAGTTAAAAAATATATTCTAAGAAAAAGTTGAATCATCAATTTTCCTTAAATAAAAATATCTCAAAGAAAGAAATTTTTAAGAAAAAGTTAAAATATCAATATTCCTAAAATAAAAATATTTCAAAAATATTTTTTTAAAAAGTTGAAAGTATTAATTTTTTCTTAAAATAAAATAAAAAAAGAACTCTTAGGAAAAAGTTGAAGCATTAATTTTTTCTTAGAATTTAATTTTTAAAATGTTAAAAAATCTAATGATGGAGCGTCTATAAGAAAAATAATAGTTTTCTTTTACACTCCTAAGGTGAAGGAACTCTCTTAATGTTCTGTCAATGTATTGGAGTCAATTAAGAATAATTCATAATAATTAATTATCTAGTAAGGTTTTTTAAAGGCTCAATGGATAACATAAAATAGCTAGTACCATCATTTGATGGGCATTATGAGTGTGCTATAACCTTTCTCATAAATAATCGTACTCTTGGACCTAGTTTGATTTCGAAAACTAGAATCTACCTTTTAAAGATACCCGAGTCAAACTTGAGATTCCTTTTTAAAATGGGACAAATTCAATTAGGAGATCAATCGCACCTAAATAAAAAAGAATGGTGATGTCTCCTAAGTCAATGTCTAGCGATAAGTTACTGATCTATACATTATGACAGTTTGGCAACTCCATTGAGAATAATTGAGAGTCAAACCAATAAAAACTTGTTATCCAAGCTTAACTTGATAAAATTAAAAATTTTTATTTAAATGTTTTATATACTTTTTCATATTGTCATCTACCTACATGTGCATAACATGAGCTTTATAATAAAAGCTTTATCCCTCTAAGGAGGAATAAAGTACCTATGCTTTTGTGAGGTTTTAATGCCTTCGCAGTAATTAGTGAAATGCTTCCACTCAAATTAAACCCTTTCCACTTGTAGCCTATAATGGACAAGGATATGGT